CTCCAATAGACTGCTAAGGGGAGCTGCCGCCTGACACTGTCCCACCATCTCTTGAACTTGACCCCTTATAGCTTTACTTGTTCCTTCGAGTCATTGGGATGGTGTTTGGTATGTAATGGGTATCGAGTGCTCAGAAGATATGGAATGAATCAAGTGGGGACTCTGGATTGTGTGATATTAATGGTAACTCTCGTTTTTAAGATAGTTGATTCTTATATGTATGTAGCTTCTGAAGCTGGTAAGATTGAACAATTAGTTATTTGGGGGACTGGGGAGATGGCTGAGAGGGTAAAGGTGTTTCCCCCAAGCCTGGTGGCCTGAGTTCAGTCTCTGGAATTCACATGGTGGGTGGAGAACAAACTCCTGGAAGTCCTCTGATCTCCACACTCACACTGTGCCGGTGCATGCGTGTGATCTCTCTCTCTCTCTCTCTCTCTCTCTCTCTCTCTCTCTCTCTCTCTCTCTCTCTCTCTCTCCAGCTATATAAATGTGTAGAAAACTCCAGTCAGTTGTTTTAGAGTCTTTGTTTATACTTTCAGCTTTGAATGTGTCACACTTCTCTCTTTTAGATCCGAGAGCGCCTGCATCCGCCTTATTTAGCCTGTACTATTAATGGCCGGGAGACAAGAAAGCTACTTTACCATGTATGAGGGTAGACAACAGGTATATGGGGTGTGCTCCTGGAGTTGTACCCATAATGTCAAAATATAGACACTAGAAATAGGTCGGGAAACCTGTAGATTATTTCTGATGGCCGCATGCATTGGTTCATGTGTGATGTGGAAGTGTCACATAGTCTGGGAGACTTCAATAAGGCAATGTGGAAAGAATATGGTCACTAGAACCAAATAAACCTGAAATCCAGTCCCTGCTTTTCCAGTTACTACTATTTAGCTCTGAAATGGCACTTAGCTTCTCCAAGCTTCTATTTCCCTGTCTGAAAAAAATGGGACCTTTCGTGTACTCAGTAGATTATAGAAAGAGTATAAAGATTCTAGGTACAGAGCCCACCCAGAATAAATGTTCAACAAATGATCCCTAGCTTTTCAGTGAAAGGGTTATTAAAGTAATTACAGTCCTAACGAAATGCTATGTATCTATAGGTACCTTGGGCATAATATTTGTTTTCTTACTTGCATTGCTATGCATGGGAATAAAAAGATAAATTCCAAAATATTTTATTAGTTAAAAACATGAAAGGTGTCTTGAGAATCTTTTGCAATTTAATATTGAAGCAGGTGAAATAATTTATTTTTAAAATCAGCATTCTCTACACTGTGCCCCAGAGACTTTCATTTAATATATCTAGTATTCATTCAGAATAAATATGGAGTTCACCAAGAAACATTTGCATTCATTCTTTTGCTGTGAAGTTTTACCCTAGCCAGCTGAAACATTCTTCTAAGTCTTCAAAGAGACAAAGAGAACACAACCACACCATCTTCAAACAAAACCATTCCAAGTTAATTAACATATGCCCCCATAGTCCAGTAATGATGTCAGTAAAGGATTAGAACTATGCCTTACTTAATATACGTTGCACGTGTTTTTGATAGATTTTCATACTTTTGAATGTGTGAGGAGGAGGTAGAACATGTTCTATGAGTCAGACAAGCCTAGACTGTAGCATAAAGAAGAGCAGGAGCAGGCCTGGGCTGTCACTCATTTAACTTGAAAGAATTGTCCTTCTCCTTTGATATTCAGCCCATGACACTGATTCCTGGGTGGCAGTCTGCTATGGGTTAAGCTGCATCTCTCCAAAGCACACGTGATGAAGACCTAGCTCCAGTATATCAGAGTGCGGCTATATTTAGAGACTGAGCTTTTAAAGATGTAACTGAGTTAAAAGAGGATAGATACTGATTCATTACAAGTGCCATAAGAAAAAGAGACATCAGGGGTATGTTGGCACAGAGGGAAGACCATATGTAGACCCAACAAGAAGATGGTCATTTGCAAGTCAGAGGGTACAGAAGAAAGCAACTGTGAGAAACCTTGATCTTGGACCAGTCCTTGAAATTATGTAAATGAGTAGGTAGTTGTAGATATTCTTGTTTTCTTGATGTAAAAGCTGGAAATTTAAGTTGCTTTCTTAAGGCCATACTCAATGACTATAATCTGTTGGGTTTTCCCAACTCTAAAATCCATAGGTCTCTTGTACCCTTGACCTGGTTGCTTCCCTTTGCTCTGTGCAGGAGTGCCTCCTTCACTATTTACTACTTTGATTCTGCCCTGTCTTCTGTGTCCAAGGCATTCCATGATCTTCATTAACCAGAATACCTGCTCCACCCACAAAGTCTTACTATGCCTATCATTGATAGCATCTTTTCATACCTCTAACTGAAGCCTTCATGTCTGCATAAAAGAAATAAAAACTATCAACTTTCTACCAGGAAAAAAAACCTCCCATAACAGATGATCTAAATCGATTAGCTCTTCTCTACTGTACTGAATATTAAAAGTAGTATCTTCTCACAATCTTATTTTTTTCTAAAGAGGGTTTTGGTGATTTTGTTTTTGTTTTGAGACAGGACTCGCTGTATAACCCAATGTGGCCTGGATCTCATTATGTGACCCATAGCCCAGTGTGGCATGGATCTCATTATGTGACCTATAGCCCAGTGTGACCTGGATCTCATTATGTGACCCAGGCTGGCCTTAAATTTGTAATACTCCTCCCTTAGTCTGCTGAGTACTGGGATTATAGGTATGTACCACCATACTAGTTATTAGAGGTCTTGCTAAATAATGATCTTTCTCATGTTTCAATAAAGGCATTCATTCATTTATGCATACATGTATTTGTTCACTTTTTTGCATAGCTTATGTAAGTCACAATGTTAAGTACTATGGGAATTCAATGGTTTTATAGTACTCTATCTTGTGACATTGTTATTCAGAGCCAATAAGGTTCAGTTTGGCTGGTCATGGTGTCACATGCCTTTAATTCTAGCACTTGTAAATCAGGAGGGAGGAAGGTGGGTCTATAGCAAGTTTCAGGCCAGCCAGGGCTCCATAGTAGTACTGTTTCCCCACCCCCCGATCAGTCTGGAGATTTTCATCAGCATTTTCCCTTTCTGCAAAATTCAGTACTGAAAGTCCATGAGGCTGCCTTTGCTGTAGCCAGTTTCTTCCCATGATTGGATATCATGTCAGAGACTGGACTAATCCAGAAAACCCAGTACAGAGAGGTGGAAAGAGAAGGGAGTTCCCTGCTTATATAGTTTATCCCTTGCATCAGAATGTGCCTGAACTGACCTTTTTCTGTCTCAAAGTTCAGCAAAGGACTTCCTATCCACTTATATCAGTTTGAGTTCTGTTTCTGTTTTATTCTGCCAGGGAGCTATCATATATGGCTTCTAGTTATCCCTGTAACTTCCTGATGCATTTTCAGATGGAGCTTAACAAGTCTCATAACTCTTTTAGAATCACTTTTCAGTACTGCAAGTAGATATCTAGTCTACCTTTGGCCATTGCTGCATCTCTTCACTGAGGAAATAATCTTTCCTGAGAAAGCAGCACACAGAAAGGGCAGCAGTAGCCACCAGGTGAACTTTTTAGGTGAGAGTGCATTCGTTTCTGAGGCCAGTGGACACTCTGGGAAGATGGATGGAATCAAGTGCTCTTCAAACAAAGCAAAAACTTTCCAAAAAAATCTTGGGTGGCTGTACTGAGGTGTGCCCCTTGATGTGGAGGCAGTAAGTGCAAAAGGCTGGTTATGGAGGGCTAGGCAGAAGTTCCAGTTGGCCAGCATTGACACAATGAGGGAACAGTCAATAGCCAAGAGAGAATTTAAAACAGCACCAAATCTTTTAAAGTTCTTTTCTTTTAATTCTTTCTCTACCTGCCCTAACTTGAGGATGAAAAACAGAGAAAACAGGAGAGGAGATGAAATAAAGATTAAAGACTAGGTCAGAAGCATTTTGACTGAATGAGAAATGCAAGTTTTTTATTTGCACTAGACTTTTTAACATGCCTGAATTGACCATGTTTCAATACCTCAGCAGAACTGGGAGTTACCAAAGGATTTACCAAGGAGTGGGGAGAAAAGTCTTCAGGATATAACTGAAGTGAATGATGGAAATAAAAATAAAGCCATTTGTGGTTGAGGTCTACCAAGTTTGACTAATTCAGTAAAAAGATTACATATATTATATGTTGATCCATGGTACTTGGTCTTAGATTTATCTTGAGGCTGGTCATAAGGTAAGCAAAGTATAACCCAGCATATCCTCCTGACTTTTCTTTAAGGACCCTGAAGCTTAGTGTCAAGGATCTCTGTGGATTTAGTTCAGGGTCAGTTTTCCTTCTTTGAACTTAAGTTGTGCTTTAACTGATATATCAAATGGGCATATTTTGCCACTGATTGTTTTTACTTGCTGATAGACAGTAGTATCGGGATGATCAGTCTTGAGTTTGTCCTGCGATAGTTTACATACTCTGTTTTGAAATCATACTCCTTAGTTAGGCATGGTGGCATACGTCTATATCCCTGAGCTCTCAGGAGGCTGAGGCAGGAAGATCCTGAGTTCCAGGCCAGCTTGAATAAGACCTTGTCTGCGGGGTTGAATGGGGGAGACAGATAATGTGCACCTGATTATCCACACCAACAGCTATCTGCTCCCACAGGTTTATCCCAAGAACACAGTGGATCAGAATTCACAGGAGAATGAAGTTGAACTTACCTGCATGCTCCCAATTTGCCTGTACATTTATATACTAATCCTCAACTCCAACTTTGATTAACTTCTTTCTCTCTTTTGTGCCTCTTTCAGTTTTTGAAACCTAGTTCTAAATTATCTTTGCAGCACTGTACATTAACCAGTGTTATAAACGTAAAAGATGATTTTCCAGTAAACTGATTAAAAATTTCACGCGTTTAGACTCACGTGTAGTTTATTCTGGTCACAAGATGTGAATCTGCACACTCAAAATGCAGTAAATGACCGCTGGTTGCTAAGTTATGTTCTTAAGAAACGGCACCATGTGGCAGAACTCACCTACCCCAGTAGTGTGATCTCCCTTTGGTCCTGTGTAAGAGGTGGGTGTTTCTCCTCTTCCCCTGTGCCAGCTGCTCCGGTTTCGTTTCTCCTGTGTAAACGCACATTCATCTTGATCGAAAGTGCACTCTCCAGGTGGAGGTGGAAGTCTCTCTGCAAGGAAACAGCAGATGTTGCAATTGCGGAGACAGTCGATGAATATGTATATTCTCACGGCTCCTAGCAGCCCCCATTGCATGTCTGAGAGGTGTCTGGCCATATGTCAAGCCTATGGAGAGGCAGACCCCCACAGGTGGCCTACCAAACCTTTCCTCCAGCTAACCTCTGCTCCATCATGGGTCCTATCCTGACACAGAATCAGAACTCCAGATCTGAAATATCGGGTTACTTTGAACAAGACATCTCCCCAAACTTGGGAATTTGTTTGAGCGGAATTGCAAAGCTCTGAAAATTGGAGATATAAGGTGTCTCCAGCACCTCCTGATATCCATATTCCCAGTGAAATTTTCAATGACTGTTTGTTTTTTATGTTTCTCTTGTGTTTTGTTTTACATACAGTGCTAATTAATGAAGCCCCGTTCCCTGTTATATGCCCTGAGTGTGGCTATTCTTATGGATATTGTCCTTCTAAGGACTCAGAAACCAAGAATCGGAAAGCAAGATGTCTTCCTTTAAGTTGATTTTCTAACGATGGGCACAAACACAGAGCCTGTGTAAGCTGTGAAAGTGTCTGCCACTGAGCAAGGCCACCAGCCCAAATGCAGTTTTCAATTATTCTCCAGTATCAGAGTGTTGCTACACATTGGCTATTTGTTATAGAGATGAACACTGAGGATCTTAGAGGTATGCACTGTTTACTCATTGCCTGCTATGTCTGGCAAGCTACTAGCTTCCATGACTTTAGCTTTTTTTTTTTTTTTTTTCTGTCACCAATGCTTAGTCTGAAGTAAGACAAAAATAAAAGGGAAATTATAAAGAAATGACTGGGGGAGCTCATTCTGGAGTCTGGCTGAAGTCTCAAGCCAGCCAAGAGTGGAGGATTTGACACAATTCTAGAACTATTTTAAATAATAATGCTAAAATAGCAGGAAGCCTTGCTTAAGATTTGTATATGACTTAAATTAATCTTACTCCATTTCCAGATGCAAACATGTTATGTTCTGAGACTCTCACACACAAGATTATAAATTTAGTTTGTAGACAAATATGTCTCAACCCCCTTGCAACTAATACAGTACGGAATCCTTCAACACTGTGACCTATGGTTTTGTCTTCTTACCGGTCCTTGTGTTTATCAGTGCACATTAGAAACCACCGTATTATCTCTTTCTCCAAAAAAGAAAAAAATCCTTAGAAACTCTTTTAACAATGGAGACTCTCTCTTAAGCCCCACAGCCTTGTCTTGGGTGTCTACTGTCCTTTTCCAAAGCATCTTGTGTTGACACTAGAACTTAAATCCATGTTTAAACCTTTTCTTAATAAGTTCCGATTTTGCTTCTGATTCATTTGGAAATTCTTTCCTGAGGTATAGAAGCCCGAGCTGAGGTCTTTGAAAGAACCATTGCATCCTCATCTCAAGGCTCAGGGATCATTGTGGAAGTACAGGGCCAAAGAGTGTAAGGGGAGAGGCTATAGATGACTGCATTGGAACATCTTCTAGACACAGCACATGTGAACTCACAACACATATGAACTCACATATGAACTGCATATATGAATTCACAACAGTTGTGACAGCATGCACAAGGCCCGTGCACGTCCAAGCTGGGCTAAATCCCAGCATGCATAGGTGCGTCAGACACACAATCCTACCCCTCACAATAGATAGCTACCGGAAAAGGAAAGATCAGATTTATCTAAGTGTGTAACCCTTCACAAATTGACCGTGTTTCAGCAGAAGAACACACTTCCGAGGATATTTTGGGCAGCACAAATGGCCTTGAAGGGTTTAGACCCCCCAAAGTCAGGTGAATGGGGGAAAAAGAGTAGTTCTGGGAAGACTTGGGAAGGTAAATATGATCAAAACAATGTTGTACAAAACTCTCAAGTAACTAAAAAAATAAAACAACAACCAACCATCAGGCTGCTATGAGCAGCAGCATAAGACTATGTCACCTGTTGCTGCTGTAGGGTCTATTGTTCTCTGTCACTTAGTTGACTTAGAACATATCAACTTTATCGAAAGTTTAATGGTATATGTCTCACAAGTATTTGTGAACTAGCAACATCATCAGTATTACTTGAAAATGTGCTTTCTCTAAGAGTACAGTGATACTACCGGTTTAGGTAGAGTGCACTTGTTTTTAAAGTGTGTTTTGGAGGCAGTTAATAAACTAGGGAATGTATATGCATTGTCCCCAACACTCAGGGAGGTTTGCTAATTTTCCTTACAATGAGGAAAAGGAGACAAGCCATACATATAAAACCACACAGAATACTAGCGTCTTCATTTTCAACTTGTAGAATCTACTACAAAGCTCTGTGAGAATGTGTCTATTAAGAAAAGCAAAAAGTAAAATGTATGTGTATGTATATGTATGCATATGGATCAAATGTATGAGGTTCTAAGAGGAGCTGGAAATGTCCATCATAGGGCAGAGAGACACACAACTGAAATGACTTATAGTCTCCTTACCTGGAGACCGGCAGTTTCCCAATTGGATGGTAATGTCATCCAACGCTACCAGTCCACAGTCCCAAAAGCTTTTGCAGAGGCTCATAAAAACCACCTGGAATTCATAAAAATAAAGTAATAAATCTTGTTAGCTGAAAACGGAAACCCTTCAACCTGAAATTTCCTAAACACAACAGACCTGCACAAGCAATTTGAAACACCCTCTCGTTGCCTGTATGAGTAACAGGATGCATGGCATGAAGAATGACTACCATTGGTAAACTCCCCTGGAGTTGCATTCTTTGAAGCAGGTTGACTTCATAAAAAATACTGTGTAAATGAATATAAAAACTAGAGGTGGTCTTTCAAGATTGGCAGTTGCTATGAGGAAAGCAAGCAATTAGCTAGGTGATAGAGAAAAGCCCGTTAGGTTTTGAGTGTCTTCTCTTGATAATCCCCAAAGTGGTGGTTGTTTCCCAAGCATCTTCCAAATGTTTCCAGTACAAACATTATTGTTGAAAGAACTGCCTAGCAGTGTGCTTTGTTTACACTGTGAACAAAGTCCCATTGGCCACCCACCCAGGGACTTCTGCTCCATTTCCAAGACAAAGGCGAATAAAAGCCCTAACATGGTTATTATTAAATTCAGTGTGTGTGGGTGGGTGAGGGATAGGGAGGGAAAAAAGGAGAGAGAAAGAGAGAGAGAGAGAGAGAGAGAGAGAGATTAATTTTAATTTTGATTTCTTACTATTGGGCCAGTTTAAAAGGCTGTGTTTCAGATATATACTGCCCAAACAGAGTTCCCTAAAATACTGTGTTGCATTTTCATTGTAGTTGATCAAGCTGCTTCAAATATGTAGTTTAATGTTTAATTTGTGTGGGTGAGTATGGTCCATATTCCGTCTCCCAGCTGCAAATCTCGACGCAAGTGGAGAAGAAGACAAAGGCTGACACACAGCAGCTGAAGTTCTACTCAGGATGAACGGGAGAACGCGACTGTCTAGGCTCTCCTGGGCCAAATGTTGTGGCTCGCTTTTATTCATGCCAGCAGTACGGTCCTTTCGCTCAAGATGGTCAGGTTTATTAAAAGACAGAATTTATTTTAAGAGAAAATCCTAGATTATGTGACATTTTGACACTATGCAGGCTATAAAAACGTCCTAAGCCAATCTCCCCAGAGGAAGCTCTCATTGCCTGATGTGTGAATGTTTCCAGACTCTGTGTTCATATCCTTTTATAAATAGGATAGCTAAGAGATAGAAATGTTTATCTCTGTGGATTTACACAGAACAAAACAGAACAGGGTGACTTTTATGGCTCTTTTTGTAAGTTTCTGTTAATCTTTCTTCTGGAGAGATTGTGGAGGTTATCTAAATAATATAGAAAATGTTTTACTTTCTAGATTCCTGCCTTGGAGCTTCTTCTGCATTTGGGGAGCAAAGATCTCTGTCTTCACTCCCAAACAGTGTCACATTCTATTAGCATTTTATTGTTATATTAGAAGGACTGCATTGATAGGCCTCATGATTTACCAAATTAATTGTGCTACACAGAGAAAAAAATGGTGTTCTTTTCTTGTCAGCTTTAAAGTCCATTTTTCACAAGTACACTGAAAGAGTACTTTTGCACAATGAACATGAAGAAGCAAAATGATCCACCCTCTAAATCTGTCCCTGTGGAAAGCCCAAACACTTTGCATAGCAATGCATTCTAAAGATGGGAAATATTAGCCTGCTTTTATATGTTTACTCGAGTGCTATTTTATAATGACCATTAAGCCAAAGAGGCACGCAGGCGGGCAACAGATGAACCAGCCTAAAATTTCAAAAGGAAAGAAATAAACTAGCATACAGCAGTCTGAAAAATAGGTGATCATTAAGTCTGAGTGCTGTAGAAATTATTCAGTGCCACAGATACTGATTTAAAATACTAAGTTAAAAAGCTGATTAAAAGAAAACAATCTCCAATTCATCTAAAATAATAGAAGAGGCCTAGAAAACTTAATAACTATATAATTATTATGTTAGGCTCATAAAATTATAGTTATGTTTCACAGTTTACAGTTGAAAAAAGAATGAGAACATCTATAACAGAAATGTAGAATAATGTTTGTGATGTAGCTCAGTAGCAGGGTTTTGCCTAGCATTTGCAGGACCCTGGGTTCAATTCCCAGCAAAATATAGAGACAGAAGTAGAATAATGTGCTGATATTTACTGTAGACTAGTGTTATGTATATGAAAGCCTATAGGCACAAATTCTATTCAGATTAAAGCTATTCAGTATCGTTGACCACATGCCAAAGTATTCAGTACAGTAGAAAAATGCAGCCAAGTGCCTAACTGAATTGAACCAACAGATATATAACATTTCCTAATTGCAAAGAGTAACATTGAATGGACTTCTTGGATACTTTTTGCCATACCAAATAACATACTTGACTCCTCTTTTGGTCCTGCCAATTATGTTGAACAAAATACTAAAGTGTTTGGAATAACACCGGGTTATCTCTACTTCAGATTTTTCCACATGTAGAATACTAGCTGGCCCGCGTGTCATTCTGTCTAACCACAGACCCCTCCCCCAACGCATCATCTACTAACTTAATTCAAACTAAGGCCTCAAATCTCAAATTTGTTTGGCAGTTCTCTGTCAGCATTCCCGAAAATAAAAGAAGTATAACAAGATCGCCTTGCTCAGTCTAGCAGCTGGTACTCTCCACCTAAGCTCTGGTAACACTAAGCATGATGGTTCTTGTAGGCTACTCGGTATGGAGAAGCTATTTGTAGGCAGTTGGTGACTGAAGGAGTGGCTGACTTACCTGTATTGACTTTGTCCAGGACAAAAGAAAAATTAACCTGGGGCTTGCTATTAAGAACTCTCTCTGTGGATACTGGTGTGCCCATGTTTCTTACAGTATTATTTACAATAACCAAATTTATAGACTCAGTCCAAGTCCAGCTAAAGATAAATAAAGAATATATATATATAATATATATATATATAATATATTGTGTATATATATACAATGGAGTATTTATCTATAAAGAAGAATGTAATTGTGACATTTGTTGGAAAATGGATGGAACTGGAAATCATCATGCTAACTGAAATAGGTCAGACTTGGAAAGATAAATACCTCACATTTTCTCTTTAGACAAAAAAAATACACCTGTAAGCCATGAAAATAAAAGGAGACTACATGGAAAGAGAAAAGGGAACCAGTAAGAATGAGACAACAGGATAATTGGGGCTTATGATCAAGGTACCTTTTATATATGAATAAAAACACAACAAAGGCAGGTGAAAGGCAGGTGAGTCTTAGCGAGTTTGAGGCTAGTCTGACATGCAGAGTGAGTCCCAGGATAGCTAGGGTTGTTACCCAGAGAAACCTTGCCTCAAACAAACAAATAAACAAAACAAAATTCAACAACCCATTAGTTTGTACAATGACTATCCACTAAAACCCTTTTGCATATGGGTTGAGATAAGTCTGTGTCAAAGGATCAGCCATAATCTAAATTCATGAAAGGATTAATCTCTCATTTATAGAGTTAAAATCCTAATGTTTATATAGATTTCAGTAATATTTCGAAGAGAGTAAACCATCTCTAAAAGGTGGGAAATAAACCTTAGTCCAAGTATATATTAAAATGTATTGAAGGAGAAAGATGAAGAACAGTGTTTCCTAAACATGAAGTTGAATGGTATCTCTTAGACAGGTGTCCTGGGCTGTACAGGATAGCTCAGAAGTTAGGTCTAGTCATACTCATTAAATCAGTGTGTTTCAAGTGCCTGAAGGTTTCAGTCTTGGGTGTCACTAATGCTTGAGAGTTAGTTTTGTTTTGATGGGGAATATTCATCCTTGAGGAAGCCTCTCTAGACTAGCTTTGGAGTGCTACACAAACATTCTTGCAAATAATATAGTTAAGTAACAACAGATATTACTATTTAACTTGGTCTTCATTGTGCTAAGAAAAAATACCACATATGTTCTTTTATTCACAATAGGGTGTTTCAGTCTCAGTGCTATTGATATTTAAAGCCAAACAACTCTTTATTGTGGGTGCCCTGGGTCCAGTAGTATGGCCCACAGAATTCTCTCTCCAGCCTCAACTTTTAGGGCTTTGTTATTCCAAGTACTTTCACCCCAAAACTGTAACAGTCAGAGGACGATAGAATTGCCTCAATGCTTCATCTATTTTTTTTTCACTTTGAAAAAATAATTTTCTACTCTCTAGAAACAAAATATTAATACTAAGCCGAAGAACTTATGAGGGAACTGAGCAAGCACGAGGTAAAGATGAGGAGAGGGTTTGTGTGAAAACCTACTCATGGCCGTGTTAGTCAAAGGGGCCAGACTGCCCCTAAGATAGTGAAAGTCTTGTAAGTTCTTGGTTAGAACACTGGGAGTGGTGTATGGTGGGGAGCGACCTAGAGAAATAGTTTTATTAGGAATCCATTTAGCCAAACCACATCAGGTTGTTTTAGAACAACTATCAGTTTTCACTTCAGAGGTGTTAAAGTGCAAACGCTAGCCAACACAATGACTAGGATTTGGAAGATGAGGGAAATCAGGCTTTGTAAAGAGCTGTGAAATACAGTAAAACACAGCCTTTGTTGAATCATTAACAAGGGTTGTCTTTGTTAAAGAGCTAACCTGGCCAAACTGCATGGTTTCTCAGTGATGTCTCATGACTTTTCCGTAGAAAGGACTGCAAGCTGAGTTGTTGAGCCACCGGCGGGGTAAAGTTAGGTCCCTATTTAGAATGTGAAGGACAACTTCCATAAATGATCTTCAGATGAAAACATTTTAATCCTCTGCCAGAAAAACCATAAGTAAGCCATGGCCATCAAGAGAGTTCAGTTATTTATTGTTATCAGTAATTGGCCTCGACTTCAGATCCCGGGTTAAACTGAACGTTTCTTCTCATGATGCTAAAGTCCTTTGAAATAATTTCAGAGATGTATTTGGGTGTGTTGATTACAGAGTTGGTGGAGTTAGTCACAAAATCACTATGGTACACGTAGAGGAATTCTAGAACCCTTCATTAAGATGCTGCGGACACAGGAAGAGTGTGGAACGCCTAACGTCATTGCACTCATTTAGATGATTG